TCTGACAGTCAAGGTGAGCTGTAAACTAAGATCATAGGATCTGTACTCTATTTTGCCTTCTGTCAAGTACAAGTTAAATACACAGAGATCTGTATACCAATAGAATGAGTTACTGAAGCCTGAAAAAATTTAATACAAATCGAAGCTCGAATATGAATGCGCATTAAAAGCTAGGTTCCAGATTTTGACAGCATTCTTAACCTGGACATGTTTAATGCTCTAGACTTTTAACGTGTGGCATGGTTGATCATCTGTTTTCAGGGACTGACTGAGAAGTTCAAAGAGAGGGATACTACATACTCGGGTTCAGCAAGTTTTACTTACGAGAATTTCATGCTAGCTGTTCTTCCATTCCTCATTGCATAGATGGGGATTGAAAGCTAAATCGGCACCAGCCAGTGATTTAGTTTCTGGGTCGTACACGTATCTGTTTTTCTGCACCTAGCATCATCTTGTGTAGCTGGTTTTAGTTGTAAAAACTAAAAACTGTTTTAAGGTTTTTTTGATACAAGCTTGCAGATCAATCCCTCTATCTCTAGCTTAAATCTTTGAACTCTGATGTATGGTTATTGTCATTTCATTCCTATGCTTTCAAGCTTGCTAATTTCCAACAATGTCGTGCTTTGTAATCTTCAACTTAAATGTCACCATCCCCACAATTTTATATCTTTAATTTGCTGAGCATCAGTGCAGTTAGGACAGGGTCAGAGCAAAATTAAGGGTCTTTCCTGGGAGAATAATTTATTCCGTAGGGGCGCCTCTCAATTTGAATTAGAAGACGTCGTACCGAGGCCGCACCAATGCAATGAATGATTTCTTCTGATAAGGTTAAAGTCCAGGCGACATGGGAAATAATTATGGTTCTTTATTTTATAATCCAGTTGTATCATGGGGCGGTTGAGCATCGTAGGCGGTTTTTGGTATTTTACCAATCACTCACCGACACAAGCGACACTTTTCTGAATCAGCACTACTTGCTGTCTAGGTTCCAGTTTCTTTTCAATGTATTTCCACGAAAGTCACTCTCTTCTTCGACAAGTAAATTCGAAAAAAAGAAGAAAAAAACAAATATGACAGAAATGAACTAAGGGGCCAGCGTATACAAATTTGACTGGGGTTTGTTTAAAGGCATGATTATAATTATTTTTTAAATATTTTTTTATATTAAAATATATATTAATAATTTTTTTATTTTTTAAAAATTATTTTTAATATTAGCCTATTAAAATGATTTAAAAATAATAAAAATATATTAATTTAAAATTAATAAAAAAATAAAAAAAATAAATTTTTTTAAAAATATTTTTAAAATATAAAAATAGATATGCTCTAAATCAATCAAGTTTCGATAATCCTTGGCTGATATATATATTAACAGAAACGAGCCCTCGTGCATCATGATATTTGTACTGCAGCTAAAATCACTGCTCATTTTTTAATAAATCTTTGTCGATTAGAAAAATAAATTTTTTCTAGATTTTTAATTAGATTCTTCAACTTTTTTCAAATTATCATGTAATTGCATTTTTTTTTTAGAAAATTGATGGATGACTAGATAGAAAATTAAAGTGAAAAAAAAAGAGTAAAATAGAAAGCTACTTCAAATTTTATATAAAAAATTAATTTTGATCACTTATATTTTTTGTTTATTGGTGATTGGTTCTTTTAGTTTTGAAAATTTTAATTTTGACATTAACATTTATTTTTCTTTTTTTTTTTGTATTTTTTGATAAGAGTGAAAGAAGAATGCAAGATTTTATTGAAGAAAGAGAGGGGTTATTGACAACAATTTTAATCATTAAAATGGGTGTTTTTTTTGTCTTGACAAATCTAATTGTGAGAATGTTTTTGAATTCAGATTTATTTAAGTTTTTTAAGTTATTTTTTGGATTTTTTGGATTATAGATAAGTTTATCAAAGTATTTATGTTATTTTTCTGTATTTTAATAAAAAATAGGTTAAAATAGTTTTTAAACCCAAGAAACCAATACCTTGTTTTCCCATGACCTTTGATTATTGAATCATGGATAAAACATATAAAGCATTGTTTGTTGTCTTATTTAAAAAAAGTCAAGCCCAAAAGCACTAATAAGTTATTTTTTTGGCCTAATGTTCTTGAGCTTCTTATTTTTTAATTTTTTTTGTTATTTTTATATTTGAATTAAAAATAATTGATAAAAAAATTTATTGGACTCAATTAAGTTTTTGAATCGGGTCATAGATTTAATATGTTTATCTACAACATTTGAGCTATTATTTATTTTTATTTTCTGTTTAATACTTTATTTGTCCCTTGATTCTAAAAAATATAATTTAACCTTTTGTTATGGATGATCTACTTATTTATTTAGCTCAAAACTAAAAAAATATACAATTTCACTTTTTGTTTTTAATGATATACTTTTATTATCTCAACCACACAAGTCTAACATATTTTTTTCTTTTTAAAAAATATTTCATATAAAAAAATTCTCATGCGCTTTATCATTGTATAATTAAATGAAAAATAACTTGTATTATAAGTTTTTTTGGTTGGCTTGAGTTCACTTAAAGAGTTTTTAAGGTAAGTATTATTTTTTTACTATTTTTTTCCTTTAACATTGAATTAATTGAGTATTAAACTTTTCATTTTGTTTTTTTTCAAGATTATCCCAGGAACTCTTTCTTGTGAATCCAAGTTACCCCAAGTTTTTTAAGCTATGTTTTGGGTTTTTTGGGTCATAGATAGGTTTATTAGGGTATCTATGTTGTTTTTTTATGTGTTTTTAATAAAAAAAAAAGGTTAAAATGAGTTTTCCAACCCAAAAAACCAACACCTTATTTTGCTATGACCTCTTATTATTAAATTCTGCACAAAACAAATAGAGCAATGTTTGCTATCTAATTTTTTTTTAAAAAGGCAAAGTCCAAAAGCACTGGTAAGTTATTTTTTTTTGCCTAATGTTCTTGAACTTTTCTTGTTTTTTTCTTAAAAATTTTTGTTGTTTTTATATTTGAATTAAAAAAAAATTGATAAAAAAATATTGGACCAGTTGAGTTTTTGAATTGGGTCATAGATTTAATAAATTCATTCCCAACATTTGAGCTATTATTTATTTTTATTTTCTGCTTAATACTTTATTTGTCCCTTCATTCTAGAAAGAATAATTTAACCTTTTGTTATGATGATTTATTTTTTTATTTAGATCAAAACTAAACAAAAAATATACAATTTCACTTTTTTTATTTTAATAATATACTTTTGTTATCTCAGCCATACAAATCTAATATAATTTTTTTTTTAAAAAAATATCTTATATAAAAAAATTATCATACGCTGCTTTATGATTGTGTAATTAAAAGAAAAAGAATTTGTATTATAAATTTTTTGGGTTGACTCAAGTTCATTTAGAGTTTTTTAGATAAATGTTATTTTTTAAATATTTTTGTTCTTCAACATTGAATTAATTAAGTATTAAGCTTTTTATTTTGTTTTTTTTAAGATTATCCCGGAATTCTTTCTTGTGAATCTAAGTTAATCTAATGTATTTTTATCTGAATATTAAATAAAAATATTATTTAGTCTGTAGTTAAAATCTAATTTTTTTAGAAAACAAACTACCAATACCTATATATTTTTTTATTGCATTAAATTTTTTCAGCTCCAACCCGCGGCGATCTCGTGCCACTCAACTTTGGTGTTGCTGCAAATGTATATTTGCATGATTTGTGAATCCGTTTTACAGCTAACATGTAGAGAGTGGATAATGAATGAATGAAAGCTAGAGATGAGTGATCCTTAAATCGTGTACAAGTGAATTGTGGTTTAGTGACTCTGGGTTGGAATCATAGGTCAGATGGTGATGAGCTTCGCTTGTTCATAAGGTCCAAATCCAGAGGCTTTGAGCTCCAAAGAGTTGTTGCCCCTAGGTGGGTAAGCACCTGGAGGAAGCGTCAAGCATCAAGCCTGTTTATGGATATGAATTACACACGCTGGAACGGGCATGAGGCGGCGTTTTAAAATTGCTGGCTTGCCTGAAGGAAGCCTGTCGAGCTCAAAATAAGATTATCCCGGAATTCTTTCTTGTGAATCTAAGTTAATCTAATGTATTTTTATCTGAATATTAAATAAAAATATTATTTAGTCTGTAGTTAAAATCTAATTTTTTTAGAAAACAAACTACCAATACCTATATATTTTTTTATTGCATTAAATTTTTTCAGCTCCAACCCGCGGCGATCTCGTGCCACTCAACTTTGGTGTTGCTGCAAATGTATATTTGCATGATTTGTGAATCCGTTTTACAGCTAACATGTAGAGAGTGGATAATGAATGAATGAAAGCTAGAGATGAGTGATCCTTAAATCGTGTACAAGTGAATTGTGGTTTAGTGACTCTGGGTTGGAATCATAGGTCAGATGGTGATGAGCTTCGCTTGTTCATAAGGTCCAAATCCAGAGGCTTTGAGCTCCAAAGAGTTGTTGCCCTTAGGCGGGTAAACATCTGGAGGAAGCGTCAAGCATCAAGCATGTCCTCAGTCTCTCTCTTATTTTCTATCAAGAAGAAATGGTCATTAACGTCTCTTCAACATATAATCATGTTCTGCCTCCCTTAACTCGCAGTTGAAGACATTTTCTTTGCCATGCGCCAATCATCAGTACAAACTTTTAACAATTTACTTGGAGCCCCTACTGATTTTCCCAGCCTCAAGTGTCTCTTCATCACAGCCTGACATCATGCAACACATTTTATGTATATGAATTACACACGCTGGAACGGGCATGAGGCGGCGTTTTAAAATTGCTGGCTTGCCTGAAGGAAGCCTGTCGAGCTCAAAAACAAAAATTACTTGAATACAAGAAGCTAATTCATCGCGGTTTTATTGTATTTATCACAGATATCTATTCAAGGGTGGGCCTAATGAGGTTTAGAGGAAGCATGGCTGCTGGTGAGAACACAGAAGTGGTAAAGAAATACCTTTCCAGTTCCTAATGATGGTTTTTATACTAACATTCATGTATGGATATAATTCTTGATAGCTCAAGAGTCTTCATTTATTAATCTCAAAAACGTCCACAACAACTTGCCTGAGTTCTTCACCAGGATAAACAGGCTTGAAATTTGAAATGTATATATAAGGGAAATAAATTGCCATCTGAATAAATGGCATGCAAAAGTCGCGCTGTGAAGGCCTCTTAAATTCTTCTCTTCAGTTTATATTACTACTAGGTAGAGGCCCCATTCTGTCTTGGACTGTACTCGTACATTGGAATTCCAGTCGATGGTTGAGCTGGTCTTGCATTTGCCTCGAATCCCTGAAACAGAAGAAACCAAGAGAAGTTGACCAGTAGAAGTGCTATGATCTTGTATACAGAAGAATATCACATTTCAGAAGATTCACATTTCCAAAAAAAAAGAACTGATTTCCTTCAATTTTGATAAAAAGGATATTAACTAGAAATGAACCCTTAGACTAAACTAAAAGTACTTACATCATGAACAGCATCTCTTAATGCTTTAACTTGCTCCCTTGAAACTGTCCTGACCTGTTTATGGAAGAATTCATCAGAACAATCATATCCATGATACCAGTTAAGAAGATATATAGAAGCTGAAATAGAGTGTGAAGGTTTTGGTAAAAGCACCTTCTTGACTATTGTCCAAACAACACCTTCAGTGCATGGAGGAACTGTGAGAGAACCGATATATCTGTAATACTTTCTGCTCCCAAATTTGATATCTCCTGGGTTGACGATCCCCATCTCTCTCTCTCTATGGTCAACATGGTTTATATGGCGGAGCAACTGCCAAAAGGGGAAATAGGAACACCAAAAAGAGAACTCCATATTTACAGATTAAAATCGAACCATTAACTTGTACATAAGTTCAAAGAACAAACTTCATGTAAAGTTTGTCTTGTTAAGGTTTCTTTTACTGATCATACTTTATATCATACATTTCAATACAAAAACCATATTGACAGACACCAAACACGTGCAGACTGATAGACTAGTTGATATACATGACAATACCTTTGAAAGGAAGCGATCAGGCCGACCATATTTGTAAACAATTGCGACAACAGCTATCCCTCCCTGAGAGCTATAGTGAACTAGGTGAAGCTCCAGGTCATGCCTTTTAACAAAAATCAGAAAAGAAAGATATGGATAGAAATTAGATATACATGTGAGAAGATTGAAGGGTGTTGAGTGGAGTAGGTGGAAGAGTTCTCATTAAGGTGTAATCAAGTGAAATTTTTAAATTTAAATAATAAAGAAGGCAAATAAACAAACCTTGTACCATTGAATGCATGCTCTGAGGGTGAATGCCAATGACATTGCTGCAGTTGGTAATCAGTATCATTAATTGTAATTTTTCCTGCGTCTCCTTTCCAAATCACCTGGCGAGAAATTCAATTTACATGGAGTGATAAGATTTTCATTTTGTAAAAAATCATATTCTCAAGTAACAAATAACAGGCATTAGCGACGCATACTTTTTTAGCCTGAATTCTGGTCAACAATCAACAATGAATTTATTAGCAAATTCATAGGGTTCAATATTTACAGGGTCAACAATCTTGTGCATACCATAATCGCAGAGGTGGATTAAATTGAAATTTTGTTTGGTAGAATGAGTTGCTTCATAAATGCATCAATGAATTATTGAAGGGACAGGTAGCATACTGTAATGTCATGTCCCCTATTCTTCACAGCTGCAGGAGCTGCTTGGTAATCCCTACGCAACCTTCCTAAATTCGGAAAAACTTCCACCCTTCTGTCAAGAACATCAATAGGAGACTGCATTTTTCCTTTACCACAAGCTTCCCAATGTGGATTAATCTTTCCCCAGTTCTTTGGTCCTTTTTCAGTTCCTTCTTCATACGTAAATTGAGTTTCATCCTCTGTTTGATGAAAGTAAATAATTAGATGGGGCCAGCTTGAATGGACTCATTAAGAAATGAATATATTCCATGAAGATAATCGTTCATGATATGGAATGAATCACTCTACTAATTGACCAATAAGTCTTCAAAACAAGCCTCACAAAAATTAAATTGATGGAGAGGTTCTAAATTGTCACCTTTTCTGTACTCCTAAGACATAAGGCACAGATGTGGCTAGGTAATCCAGGTTTCAAAGTAAGGAACATGGCAAAATTAAAAGTGATTCTCTTTCAGAAAAGTAAATCGTGAATTGAATTAACTTAGAGCAACTTGCAAAGCAAAGAATAAAAGAAAATGGTGAAATAACTATTCAAACATGTGAAAAAGCGTATAAACAAATCAATAATTTTGCACTAAACAATGCACAATTGGAAAATTTTTGGACAAAATTTTAAATGATCTCCTGGTTCTGCACCGCATGTATGAAAATTTAAAAAAAACGCAGAGATCAAGAACACTACATCTTCTCTATTAGAAAGCCATTTAATTTTGTCAGCAAGTAGGTGACCTTACAACTGTAAAAAGGGCACTGGTCGGCTTGTAGCTATGCAAAGTTTACCTACTGATCAAGTTTAACTACCTGTAGGTCCATCTGAAAATGGGATTTCATCAAAGAAAAAACCTTCAAGACATGTTTGAACCTCAAGATTGAATTTTTTCCCCCCTTTAAAGAAAAAAAAAAACAGAACAGAAGGATACCAAGAAATTAATCTTTCAAAACCCAAAATGTGATTTGGGTTTTCTACAACATTTTAATCTTCGCTAAATAGTAGAATATTAATTATCTGAAAGCGACGTAAACACTAAAACTGGCAGTGAAAATGAAGAATTCAACAGCTTAACCAGAATGAGAGATGGGGAGAGAGATGAAGAACATACCAACTTCGGACTCGAAAGCCAAGGAGATGGTGAGTGAATATGAGACAATGATGAGAGAAACAAGAAGGAGAAAGCTCATCATGTTGATGTTGTAGACATTGAAGTTACTGGTGCTAGTCATGGCGTCTTCCTTAATTTCTCCGAATTTCAAGGAGTTAGAAATGAAAGGCTGGTTTAGCGTTGTCTTTTTAGGAAGAGCAAACGGATCTTTCTTGTTACACAACAATGGCAGGAATGATAATTTAAACAGAATCCTATACATATCGGCCTCAGCTAACTTAAATCAATGCATTATTTTTTACATAATTACTTTTTTCTTCAATGAACAGTAATTTTAACGTGTCTTAAAAGAAAAATTTATTTCTTCAAGCGAATTTTTTTTTTTTTATCAAAATATCAAATTACACATAAAATTCTTGTGTGTAAACATCTAAATTCATTTCATAGTTACATGATACATTAAACTTTCTAGATTATTATAAAGTAGCGAGTCAGCAGGCACCAAACAAAGAACTGGAAACACACAATTACATACATTGCTGTAGAACCATTAAATTTCTAATTATAAGATGGACATAACTCAAATCCACACTAAACTCTTGCAAATTGTTTTCTTCTTTCACATAATTGCTGTCACATCTGATCATTGTTCGTCTTCTCATCATGTTGTCTACCATTTGTGACAGTCCTTTAATTCTAGTAGTCAGCATGATCAATTTATTTATCTTTGTGATGGTGATTAGAAAAATATTCATGATTTGATTATTTTTTAAAGTATTATTTAAAAAAATATATATTAAAATAATATATATTTTTATTTTTTAAATTTATTTTTGACTTAATCACATTAAAAAATATAAAAACATAAAAAAATTTAAATAAAAAAATTTAATTTTTAGGCTCCGTTTGTTTAGTTATAGTTTTTGTGTTTACAATATAAAAAATACAATTAGTGTTTGGTAATATATAAAACTGTGTTTTATACTATGGGCTACCATAAAATTGAGTTTAAAATATAGTTCTTGTGAAGTGGTTTTTATATTTTTTTAACTGAATTTCATAAAATTTTGTTTGTTTTTTTATTTAAAAAATACTTTTTTTAAAATTTAAATTTTTTTATATTTTTAGATTATTTTGATACTCTAATATCAAAAATACTTTTAAAAAATAATCATAAATAAATATTTTATATATGTTTTTCTATGTACGTAAATCTCAATCATAATTTTTACTAAATACATATCTAAATTCAATACCTAACCATATTTTTCTTAAAATTATAATAAAAAAATTATTTTAAAAATAAATATACTCTTATAAAATATAATTTTAACTGCATTCCTGGATAACATCTTACCTGGTCATGAGAAGCAGCCATTGGCATCACGGCTATGAAGACCTCTTAAATTCTTCTCTTCAGTTTATATTACTACTAGGTAGAGGCCCCATTCTGTCTTGGACTGTACTCGTACATTGGAATTCCAGTCGATGGTTGAGCTGGTCTTGCATTTGCCTCGAATCCCTGAAACAGAAGAAACCAAGAGAAGTTGACCAGTAGAAGTGCTATGATCTTGTATACAGAAGAACATCACATTTCAGAAGATTCACATTTCCAAAAAAAACAACAACTGATTTCCTTCAATTTTGATAAAAAGGATATTAACTAGAAATGAACCCTTAGACTAAACTAAAAGTACTTACATCATGAACAGCATCTCTTAATGCTTTAACTTGCTCCCTTGAAACTGTCCTGACCTGTTTATGGAAGAATTCATCAGAACAATCATATCCATGATACCAGTTAAGAAGATATATAGAAGCTGAAATAGAGTGTGAAGGTTTTGGTAAAAGCACCTTCTTGACTATTGTCCAAACAACACCTTCAGTGCATGGAGGAACTGTGAGAGAACCGATATATCTGTAATACTTTCTGCTCCCAAATTTGATATCTCCTGGGTTGACGATCCCCATCTCTCTCTCTCTATGGTCAACATGGTTTATATGGCGGAGCAACTGCCAAAAGGGGAAATAGGAACACCAAAAAGAGAACTCCATATTTACAGATTAAAATCGAACCATTAACTTGTACATAAGTTCAAAGAACAAACTTCATGTAAAGTTTGTCTTGTTAAGGTTTCTTTTACTGATCATACTTTATATACCATACATTTCAATACAAAAACCATATTGACAGACACCAAACACGTGCAGACTGATAGACTAGTTGATATACATGACAATACCTTTGAAAGGAAGCGATCAGGCCGACCATATTTGTAAACAATTGCGACAACAGCTATCCCTCCCTGAGAGCTATAGTGAACTAGGTGAAGCTCCAGGTCATGCCTTTTAACAAAAATCAGAAAAGAAAGATATGGATAGAAATTAGATATACATGTGAGAAGATTGAAGGGTGTTGAGTGGAGTAGGTGGAAGAGTTCTCATTAAGGTGTAATCAAGTGAAATTTTTAAATTTAAATAATAAAGAAGGCAAATAAACAAACCTTGTACCATTGAATGCATGCTCTGAGGGTGAATGCCAATGACATTGCTGCAGTTGGTAATCAGTATCATTAATTGTAATTTTTCCTGCATCTCCTTTCCAAATCACCTGGCGAGAAATTCAATTTACATGGAGTGATAAGATTTTCATTTTGTAAAAAATCATATTCTCAAGTAACAAATAACAGGCATTAGCGACGCATACTTTTTTAGCCTGAATTCTGGTCAACAATCAACAATGAATTTATTAGCAAATTCATAGGGTTCAATATTTACAGGGTCAACAATCTTGTGCATACCATAATTGCAGAGGTGGATTAAATTGAAATTTTGTTTGGTGGAATGAGTTGCTTCATAAATGCATCAATGAATTATTGAAGGGACAGGTAGCATACTGTAATGTCATGTCCCCTATTCTTCACAGCTGCAGGAGCTGCTTGGTAATCCCTACGCAACCTTCCTAAATTCGGAAAAACTTCCACCCTTCTGTCAAGAACATCAATAGGAGACTGCATTTTTCCTTTACCACAAGCTTCCCAATGTGGATTGATCTTTCCCCAGTTCTTTGGCCCCTTTTCAGTTCCTTCTTCATACGTAAATTGAGTTTCATCCTCTGTTTGATGAAAGTAAATAATTAGATGGGGCCAGCTTGAATGGACTCATTAAGAAATGAATATATTCCATGAAGATAATCGTTCATGATATGGAATGAATCACTCTACTAATTGACCAATAAGTCTTCAAAACAAGCCTCACAAAAATTAAATTGATGGAGAGGTTCTAAATTGTCACCTTTTCTGTACTCCTAAGACATAAAGCACAGATGTGGCTAGGTAATCCAGGTTTCAAAGTAAGGAACATGGCAAAATTAAAAGTGATTCTCTTTCAGAAAAGTAAATCGTGAATTGAATTAACTTAGAGCAACTTGCAAAGCAAAGAATAAAAGAAAATGGTGAAATAACTATTCAAACATGTGAAAAAGCGTATAAACAAATCAATAATTTTGCACTAAACAATGCACAATTGGAAAGTTTTTGGACAAAATTTTAAATGATCTCCTGGTTCTGCACCGCATGTATGAAAATTTAAAAAAAACGCAGAGATCAAGAACACTACATCTTCTCTATTAGAAAGCCATTTAATTTTGTCAGCAAGTAGGTGACCTTACAACTGTAAAAAGGGCACTGGTCGGCTTGTAGCTATGCAAAGTTTACCTACTGATCAAGTTTAACTACCTGTAGGTCCATCTGAAAATGGGATTTCATCAAAGAAAAAACCTTCAAGACATGTTTGAACCTCAAGATTGAATTTTTTCCCCCCTTAAAAAAAAAAAAAAAAACAGAACAGAAGGATACCAAGAAATTAATCTTTCAAAACCCAAAATGTGATTTGGGTTTTCTACAACATTTTAATCTTCGCTAAATAGTAGAATATTAATTATCTGAAAGCGACGTAAACACTAAAACTGGCAGTGAAAATGAAGAATTCAACAGCTTAACCAGAATGAGAGATGGGGAGAGAGATGAAGAACATACCAACTTCGGACTCGAAAGCCAAGGAGATGGTGAGTGAATATGAGACAATGATGAGAGAAACAAGAAGGAGAAAGCTCATCATGTTGATGTTGTAGACATTGAAGTTACTGGTGCTAGTCATGGCGTCTTCCTTAATTTCTCCGAATTTCAAGGAGTTAGAAATGAAAGGCTGGTTTAGCGTTGTCTTTTTAGGAAGAGCAAACGGATCTTTCTTGTTACACAACAATGGCAGGAATGATAATTTAAACAGAATCCTATACATATCGGCCTCAGCTAACTTAAATCAATGCATTATTTTTTACATAATTACTTTTTTCTTCAATGAACAGTAATTTTAACGTATCTTAAAAGAAAAATTTATTTCTTCAAGCGAATTTTTTTTTTTTTATCAAAATATCAAATTACACATAAAATTCTTGTGTGTAAACATCTAAATTCATTTCATAGTTACATGATACATTAAACTTTCTAGATTATTATAAAGTAGCGAGTCAGCAGGCACCAAACAAAGAACTGGAAACACACAATTACATACATTGCTGTAGAACCATTAAATTTCTAATTATAAGATGGACATAACTCAAATCCACACTAAACTCTTGCAAATTGTTTTCTTCTTTCACATAATTGCTGTCACATCTGATCATTGTTCGTCTTCTCATCATGTTGTCTACCATTTGTGACAGTCCTTTAATTCTAGTAGTCAGCATGATCAATTTATTTATCTTTGTGATGGTGATTAGAAAAATATTCATGATTTGATTATTTTTTAAAGTATTATTTAAAAAAATATATATTAAAATAATATATATTTTTATTTTTTAAATTTATTTTTGACTTAATCCCATTAAAAAATATAAAAACATAAAAAAATTTAAACAAAAAAATTTAATTTTTAGGCTCCGTTTGTTTAGTTATAGTTTTTGTGTTTACAATATAAAAAGTATAATTAGTGGTTGGTAATATATAAAACTGTGTTTTATACTATGGGCTACCATAAAATTGAGTTTAAAATATAGTTCTTGTGAAGTGGTTTTTATATTTTTTTAACTGAATTTCATAAAATTTTGTTTGTTTTTTTATTTAAAAAATACTTTTTTTAAAATTTAAATTTTTTTATATTTTTAGATTATTTTGATACTCTAATATCAAAAATACTTTTAAAAAATAATCATAAATAAATATTTTATATATGTTTTTCTATGTACGTAAATCTCAATCATAATTTTTACTAAATACATATCTAAATTCAATACCTAACCATATTTTTCTTAAAATTATAATAAAAAAATTATTTTAAAAATAAATATACTCTTATAAAATATAATTTTAACTGCATTCCTGGATAACATCTTACCTGGTCATGAGAAGCAGCCATTGGCAATTCCTGGATAACATCTTACCTGGTCATGAGAAGCAGCCATTGGCATCAGCTCAACGAAGGGTGAACCGGTTGGGCAATGAAACAAACAAGGAAATCTGGATTGAAGATCGGAAGAAATGACAAAAACCCTAAATTACCAAAGACGAATGAAATCAATTTTAAGAGATACATAGATGGACGGGTCAACACTTTAATTGAACTAACCGTATATTATGATTTCTATTAATTAAAGTAATTACGTTTAACGTATTTTATCTATTTTTTTAATATATAATCAGGTAATTAGGTAAATAACTTGATTTCTTTTAACTTAATATTGGGACCTTTCTTTAACAGGTGTCTTTTTTATATTGGATCAAGAATTTTGTCATTACTCTATCATTTCCCAATAAAAATATGAATTCTAATAGATTTTTTAAAAAAAATATGAATAAATAAAAAGGGAAATTTCACTTAATATTTCGTACTCTATGCTTTGGTTTATAATGTGATTACCCTTTATAATTTAAAAAATTAATATTTACATTCCAGCTTAACAAAAAAATTTAAATGCTATAAACATGCCAAACTACCTCCATATATAATATATTAAATATTATATCTTTGTCATCAAATAAAAAATAAAATAAAAGAAGAGAAATTAATTGTTAAACCTTGATCAAACTCCAAAATCGAATCAGCATTAACATAAAACATTAAAATCTTCATCGAACAATAGTTATGCCACCAAAAACACATAAGCAACCACAAATCAAACTCTAGAGGGACAGAAGGAAATGAGAAATAACAGGCTATTTTTGTTTATTATCACCTTTTTTTTTTTAATATTAGCAAAGCAACAAAGTTTAAAAAAAATTAATGAAATAACACAGATATATATCACGGAAGAGAAACATAATATTAATAGCTTGCTGCTATTTAAAATAACAACATTTAAAAGATATATTATAAAATAAATAAACAAAAAAATATAAAAAAATCCTTAAAAACAAATTAAAATTCTGATTATAATATTATCAACATCATAAAAATCTCAAAAAAATAATTTTAATGATATTAATAAAGGTTATTGAGAATGTTCTAAATAAGTTACACTTATAAATATAAGTGAACCACTCGTTATTTTTAAATAGTAAATATAGCACAATTAGATTATTGTTGATAACTTTTTATGATATAGTGCACTCGTATTTTTAAATGGTAAATATAGCAATTATTGTTGATAACTTTTTATGATATAGTTGTATTTATTTCATTAAATTTTTTTATTATTCTGATGATATCATAATTAAATCATTAACAAGCTTTTAATATCTATTTTTTTTATCTTATTTTCTCTCTATTCTCTTATTCTTTTATACTTATTTTTAAAAAAAAAAGTATAAACAATAACAATTTATTAATGTCATGTTTTCTAATACATGCATAAACCGTATCATTTCAACATTTCTTTTTCAAATCTCGCTTTTCTATTAATATTTTTAGCTTATCGTGCTATTATTTATTTATTTTTTTAAAATCGAAATAGCCATCTTAGATTCTCACTTGTTATGTCAAGGTGGGTTTGAAACAGAAGGTGGTGCTTACTTCGGTTATTGGCCCTGTCTTGTTATGTTAGTTCCAATGGAGAAAGGCTTGAACTGATACCGGTTTATGTGAGATCTTCCTTTTAATGTCCTCTAGCAAAGCAGTTGAAAGGGATTTGCTGGGTTTGGTAATTCTCAAGTGAGTGATCTGGTATGGTCTCATGTGGGCTCCGTTCTTCTTGACACATGATCTATCTGCAATGAAGAGAGGGAAGAAAAAAACCCTTAAAAAAGCCCAATTAGCCACCCTTGATTACACAATCTAGTGTAGCAGCTATGGAGACTGAAAACGGAAACTTCATCTCGCTTATGAGCTCTAATGACCAACATGGGTTTACCGAGTATGGTTACGGATTAGGATTTTGGATCCGGGTTGGGTGAAGGGGGTCTTGGATTTGGCGCAAGAGCGTTCTAGTCTTTTCGTGCAATGGAAAACTTCTGGGTTCAATACTTGGCAGATGCAGGGTGCCCATGTTGATATCATATTTATGTGTGTGTGTATATGAATGGAAGAATCAAGATAGAAAGATTATCGATTTGTACTCAAATTTGGCAGATGCAGGGTGGTATTTTTCTCATCGCTCGGTTGAAGCTTTTGTGAAACTGAAATGGCCGTTTGCAAGGGAAGATTGGAAGAGTTGACAAGAAAATCAACAGTGGTTATGGATTTCGGCTGGGTTGTGGGTCTGGTGAGCCTGTGGGTTTACAGTTGAGATGGCGGTGGTTAACGAGGGATCGAAGGGAAGGTGGTGGCTAGATTTGGTGTTTAAGGGAAAGAATGGGTGGAAGGGTTTGGGAGGGAAGAAATAATTTTTTTTTTTTTTAATTCACTGATAAGTGTATAATATTTAATATAGTTTTTTTAGTTTTTTTTTAAAAAATAATGATATTTGTTTTAAATAATCAAATATTTTTATTAATTTTTTTTACAAATATATTAAGTATCAGTTTGCATGTAAAGTTGAGAGTTTTTTAAATTAAGCATCTTATCAAATGTGAATTGAAAATGTTTAAAGGTATCTTTTTTATAATAAAACCAAACAGGTCACATGAAAGTGGTCAGGGTTTTTACTATTCTGACCCTGTAGATGAACGCTCGCAATCCTTGCATAAGTGACAGGTGGAGTTTTGGCTTTTCTTTATATGGTTTGGTCCTTCATCTTTTTTGAAGCGTTGAATTTGGTTCCTAATAATTAAGGGTATTTTTAATTTAACAATATTTTATTTTTTTCCCTTTTCTTTTAATTTTAAACCTCAAATATATATGTATTTAACTTGTTTACAATTACATGTAATTAAGAAAGTGATTTTATTTTAATTTCACTTGGAATAAGCAGTCAAAATAACTATCAACGGATAAAGTTTTAAAAAGAGATTTAAAAAAAAAAAATCAAATCTCATCTATAATATAGAAAAACAGGTTTTGGAATTGAGTTGCATAGAACACTAACATCTTTAATACATATAAATTTAAAAAAAAAAAATTGAGAGAAAATTCATTTTAATTAGAAAAATATTGATCACACTATAGATAGTTATTTTGAAATTTTGGTCAATCGCTTAAGGTAATTTAATCTACTGAGAAGTTTTCTTTTGGAACGGGTGGGGTGGTTACTTATCGCTTAGATAAGGCTGTTTAATTTTTTTTTATTAAAATATAATAGTTCATTACATCTACAGCGAGCATGGAAATTGAAATATTTTGTTGTGAACTGAAAGATGTTAACATGAAAGTGGATTGGTGAAATTTGGGTATTGATAGATTGATATTCACATTTTCTTTTTTAAATCAGGAGAGGCAATTTGAATTGTAACTTCTGTTGAAAAAGCTAGGTCGACATAGAAGTGAGGAGGTAAAGTGTCCATTCGAATGACTAATTTAATTATTCAAGTTTTAAATTTATTTTTTAAATATTATTAATTTAAATTTTATAGATTTTAAGATTATTAAAGGCTTATTTAATTATTAATTTAGAATTTATAAAATTAATTAAGAAAGGCTTATATAATTATTAATTTAGAATTTATAAAATTAATTAAGATATATATAAACTAACCCGAACATCTATATTAATTAAAAAATACATCGCATCTCGAACTTTTAAAGTATATATAAACTAACCCGAACATCTACATTAATTAAAAAAATACATCGCATCTCGAACTTTTAAATTTAGTATGTTTTTCTTTTCATGGTTGTTGTATTATTTTGTTAATTATATATTAAAAAATAATTATTATATTATGTATATGAAATGGAAGGATAGTATGGTAGAAACAAAAATACATGGATTAAAAATAGAAAAA